TCCCTATCAAAAAAAAAAAAAAAAAAAAAAAAAAATAATACCGATCCTGAAGAGAAAAAAAGAAACATGAGCAAAATGTCCAGGAAACACGGGAAGGACAGGACGACTGGGTCCCCATTTTCTTGAAGAATTAGGGCTACCATGAGATAGAGTAGGAGGGGGAACCCTGCCTGAATCCGAAGCCAAAGGTCTGGAGACAAACATGCTTTTGAGTTGCCACGTCATCCTGTTTTGCAGTTTACAAAACTGTACAGTTGAAGTCAAGTTTTTGGTAACAAAAGGGAAAATGACTAGAGTGGCTCCAGTAAGTGGTGTTGGTCTGATGTGAAAGTTTGGACATCTGTTCAACATCTGAGTGTTATTTCCTCTGGTTAGAACAGACCCCGCAGTTGGGTGACTGTCCTAGAGAGATTACTGAAGCTGGCTGTAGTGGCCACTCAGGCACACTTCCCTCTGTCCATTCAAGAGGGAATTCTCAGCATTTCTGCTCAAAAGGGACATTACTTTCAGTACAGCAAAGACTTCACGTTCAGTGTGTATGTGTGTGTACGTACGCGTCTCATACCTATCACACTGTTCCTGGGGATGGAACTAGAATCTTCCCCCAGAGAAGAAATGGAAAGCTCTGATCTATCTACTCCCCCTTGGAGGAAATTGAGGCCTAGGGAAAGTAAATCACTTAAATCACACAGCCACAGAATCGAAGCTGGACCCTCAAATCTCACTCCAGAGCTTTGAGACACACAAGCATAGGATATAAGGTTTATTTCCTCATACAGTTCAGTATATGCAATCTAAAATAAATAAAATATTGCCCCTCTCAGTGAGAGGAACCAGGAGAATTTCACAGTGACCACAAATCTTTGGTTAGTTCTATACAAGGAAAGGAAAGAGAAAGAAAATTTCATGACCAACACAACTTGCTTTCGAAAGCACCCTATGCCAAACTTGAGTAATGGATGCACGTATTTTATTGATTATTTGACCCATAGGACTTACTTTAAAATACAAAGTCCAAAACCCTTTTTCCCCCCCACTTTCTGCAGTATAAACCTAAAGGATTTCTACATCTGCTTCCTCTGAAACAGACAGCTTCCAGAGCATTAGAAAAAGAAACAGACATTTTGGGGGCTCGATTTTTCTGATCTGCTTTCAGAGTGATTTTTTTATAGTGAACTATGCTTTATATGCCTGCTGTGTTTCCTTTGTGATCTGAGCAGATTTCATCGAAGACTGAAAAGTTAGGTGCAAGTGGGTATTTTCAACCCTGAATTGCTGAAATGACTTTTTTTATTGAAAGATGGTTAAAAATGTATTTCACTGAAAGCCAAGATAAATAATAGAATTTATATCATTTTAAAAATTAAAGAAAAACACACTCTCCAAACAACAGAATTGGAACTGTTAGCCAGTCATAGGTGAAAGGTGTGTAAATTCAAGAGAAAAAAGACCTAAATTAGTGAATGTGTTTAGTTCCAGAAGATAATTAAGATGCATAAGCAAGGGTATTTTCTCATTATTAGACATCTTCCACTTTAAAAGTCTTAGGGAGCAGCGCCAGTGTCTGTAAAGAAACAATTTTTTGAACTGGGGTGGCATTTGCTGAGAATGAGAAACCCCCGACTCAGCCACGTCTCTGTTTTATTTGCAGCCGTTTGTTATCTATGACATGAATTCCTTGATGATGGGCGAAGATAAAATCAAGTTCAAACACATCACCCCCGTGCAGGAGCAGAGCAAAGAGGTGGCCATCCGCATCTTCCAGGGGTGCCAGTTTCGCTCCGTGGAAGCAGTGCAGGAGATCACAGAGTACGCCAAGAGCATTCCCGGTTTCGTAAACCTTGACTTGAACGACCAAGTAACTCTCCTCAAGTACGGTGTCCATGAGATCATTTACACAATGCTGGCCTCCCTGATGAATAAAGATGGGGTTCTCATATCAGAGGGCCAAGGATTCATGACGAGGGAGTTTCTAAAGAGCCTGCGAAAGCCCTTTGGTGACTTTATGGAGCCCAAGTTTGAGTTTGCTGTGAAGTTCAATGCACTGGAATTAGATGACAGTGACTTGGCAATATTTATAGCTGTCATTATTCTCAGTGGAGGTAAGATTTGCCTTTCCATCTTCTATGAACAAGGGTGGGATGGTGATGGGAGGGCTGAAAGGATTTTGGATTTCCTTACTGTTGGTCTGTGTCCTTTTCACTGTATATTTACCGCACTTTTCATACAGAAGATGCCAATGGCAGAAGGCCATGAGAATCTAACTTCACGCTCAAAATACTGTACCGAGAAAGAGTATCGTCGGTTTGCAGTACGACTGGTCTGGGTATAACCCTGGCTTTTTTATCCCTCACAATATTTTTTCCAGTCAGATCCAATTATGGAATCAAATGCCCTCTTCTCCTTGTTCGTCTTTTTTTCTTTTCTGTGTCTCATTCCTTTTGAAGGCCAGTCCATTCTTTGGTTCATTTAAGTCATGACACATATAACTTTGCTTAACACGAGGCTCTTTTGGATAGAGAAGGTACTACGGAGAGTTTTTGGTCAAATTATGCTCCTGCCCCACCATCAGTAAGATATACGTTTAATGGCTGGGCAGAGTAGCTCAGGCCCGTAATCCTAGCACTCTAGGACTCCGGGCTGGGTGGATCACCTGAGCTTAGGAGTTCAGACCAGCCTGAACAAAGAGAGGCCCAGTCTCTACTAAAAATAGAAAAACTAGTTGGGCATTGCAGCAGGCTCCTGTAGTCCCAGCTACTTGGGAGGCTGAGGGAAGAGGATTTCTTGAGCCCAAGCATTTGAGGTTGCTGTAGAAGCCACAACACTCTACCCAGGGCAACAGAATGAGATTCTGTCAAAAAAAAAAAGGATAGTACTTTGAATTGCTTTCCCAAAATCAGGAATTAAGGAATCTATCTATCTATATATATATGTGTGTATATGTGTGTGTGTGTGTGTGTGTGTGTGTATACTGACCTCCAACAGCTTCTCAGGTGGACCTTCCAATAGCTTCCCTTGAAGTACCTTTGTGTGATTAAGAATGAAATCTGGAGTGGTGCCTGTGGCTCAGTGGGTGGGGCGCTGGCCCCATATACCGAGGGTGGCAGGTTCAAACCCAGCCCTGGCCAAACTCCAACAAAAAATAACTGGGCATTGTGGCGGGCACCTGTGGTCCCAGCTACTCGGGAGGCTGAGGCAGGAGAATCGCTTAAGCCCAAGAGCTGGAGGTTGCTGTGAGCTGTGATGCGACAGCACTCTACCGAGGGTGATAAAGTGAGACTCTATCTCCACAAAAAAAAAAAAAAGAATGCAATCTGAACCAGAGAACACAAAGTAGAGAAATTGAGTTATTTTGTAATTTGTTGTAATTTTGGCCTTGCAAGCACATGACCTAACTCACCAACTCCAAAAGCCAGTTAAATATAACTTTCTTCTTTTTTTTAGGTGTAACTTTCATTAGCCTCTCTCATTTTCAAGTTGAATAAAAGAAAACATGTAAAAGTTGTTCTTAAACAACAGTTTTCATGCTGAGATGACATGAGGTGCACCTTTCATGTGTGCTCTCCAGTGTATCTCCTGTTTGTATAAACTCAGCCATTGTGGAAACTGCACAACTGCACAATGTATAATAAAAAGCAAGATTTGCTCTCGCTCTGTCCAACTGGGAGCAGAAGGCTTCTGAAATCAGATGCATAGTGCATTACTAATAATAATAATAATAACAATAGCAAACATGTAGTACTTACTGCGTGCCAAGCTGCGTTAGCAACCAGGGAGGGAAGTACCATTTTACAAACGAGGAAATCAAAGCACTGGAAGCTTCACTCACTTGCCAGGGCTCCACAGCTAGGAAAAATGGAGCCAGGGCCTGTAATCTCAGCACTTTGAGAGGCCATGGAAGGTGGACTGCCTGAGCTCAGGAGTTTGAGACCAGCCTGAGCAAGAGCGAGACCCCGTCTCTAACAATAGCCAGGCATTGTGGTGGGCGCCTGTAGTCTCAGCTACTCTGGAGGCTGAGGCAAGAGGATGGCTTGAGCCCAGGCATTTGAGGTTGCTGTGAGCTATGATGCCATAGCACTCTACCAAGGGCAACAAAGTAAGACTCTGTCTCCAAAAAAGAAGAATGGAGCCAGGATTGTGAACTATGCAATCTGGCTCCGGAGTCTAGGCTCTTAATTTCTATATGATGCAAAATACTACACTTTAGACGAGAGGGTTCAAATAGATAATAGTATGGCTTAGATTAACATTGGAGCCCGAGGTACAGTGTCGAGTTGTGATTCACTTTAAAATAACTTTTTGAAGTTATGTTTAATAGTACAAAAATATACTATCTGACATGATTTACCATCTTGATCAAATCTACTTCTTAAGTTAATCCTTGGCCCCCATCCCCACCAGAATCTTTGAGCAAAGAGTGAGATTCCAGTATATGTGAGGTTCACTGGGACAAAAATGTTAAGTTTTTAAATACCAGTATGGAAAAAAAGTTGATATTGTTTAGCCAATATTTTAAAGCACACTTTATTTTTCATAAAACATAAAAACATTATCATTTTACATATTTCTAATATTTTTCCTAAGCATACTATATAGCCCATGTGTATACTCTTTCACTTTATCAGTTTCTCGTGTCATGACATACTCTTTGTTAATTAATATTTTTTATTTTTTTTATTTTTTTTTTTGCAGTTTTTGGCCAGGGCTGGGTTTGAACTCGCCACCTCCGGCATATGGGGCCAGCGCCCTACTCCGTTGAGCCACAGGCGCTGCCCTAATATTTTCTAATTTTTTAATAAAAGTAATACATGGTCATTTTATAATTCAAAGAGTACAGGATATTATAAATGAAGGATCTTTGTCCTTAGAATAAAATAGGATTAATAAAAGTTCTATTTCTCCTACCAAAACATTTATATGACAACCCATCTATACAGATACATACTTGCACGTGTATAATACAAGTTGTAACGGTTTATATTCCTGCCATGAATGCTAAGGGGAGCATCTGAAATAAGCCATCAGAGATGGTTAGTTTCTAACTAGGAATGATGTAGATAAGAAACGACCATGATGATTCTGGCCTTTCTGAATCTGACCTTGTTGTTTGGTGGGCACAGTGGACGGCAGGTGGTTCTTTCTAGGGAAGATGCCATTACTATTCCAGCTAGATTTCTCACAAGCTAGGCGATTAAAAATAGGCCTTTAAAATTTTCATTAATTGATCAAGAAACACATCTGGAATAGTTTGATTCAATTTAATTGATAATTGCAGGCTTCAGCTTTGAATTATGAAAATTAAAAATGGTACCATTGGGCGGGGCCTGTGGCTCAGTGAGTAGGGCACTGGCCCCAAATACCAAGGTGGCAGCTTTGAACCTGGCCCCAGCCAAACTGCAACAAAAAAATAGCCGGGCGTTGTGGCAGGTGCCTGTCTGTAGTCCCAGCTACTCGGGAGGCTGAGGCAAGAGAATCGCCTAAGCCCGAGAGCTGGAGGTTGCTGTGAGCTGTGATGCCACAGCAATCTACTGAGGGGGACAAAGTGAGGCTCTGTCTCTAAAAAAAAAAAAAAATGGTACCATTGACCGGCCTTGGTGGCTCACACCTGTACTCCTAGCACTCTGGGAGGCCAAGACAGGAGGATTCCTTGAGCTCAGGAGTTTGAGAGCAACCTGAACAAGATGTCATACCCAGTCTCTACTAAAAATAGAAAAACTAGCTGAGGGTCGTGGCAAGCGCCTGTAGTCTCAGTTAACTCAAGAGGCTGAGGCAGGAGGATTGCTCGAACCCAGGAGTTTAAGGTTGCTGTGAGCTATGATGACCACAAGGCCCTCTAAGCTGGGGCAGCAGTGTGAGACAATGTTACAAAAAGTAAAGAGAAAAAGCAAGATTTACCATGATTTCATATCACAAAAGCCTAATTCTTCCCTGATCAAAATTGGCTTTTGTAAATGAAGTCTATGCAGAGGAAGTAGATAAGAATGAATAAACTACACCACCCACCGTGTTTGTCCAGCTCAGGAATCTCTTCTCTTCTTTCTCAGGCTGCTTAGGTGTAGGCCAGGGAAAGAGCCGTTCAACAGGCCTTCCCAGTCACAGACTGTGCTCCGGTAAGATCAGGATCACAGTCACCTGTGCATGATGAGATCCATAGTCCAGGTTGTGGTTTATTAGAGTAAGACAAAATTTCTCAATTAGTTTTTCCCCCTATTCTGGATTTGCCAGAAAGGGAAAGCATTCATGTATGCCAGGGGCTTGGATCCAGCAAACAGATTTCTGATTCTACCCAGTCTTAACAATGAGTGATCATCTTCTCCTCTGCAGTTTAGTCCAGTCTATCAGTTGCATCAGTGGTTTCAGAAAGATGTGCTTTTGGTATGGATCTAGTTGGCTTCCTTCTGAGCTAGGCTCGGAATCACAGAGCTTTGGCTCTGGGGGAGGCACCTGGGACCCTAGACTGAGGGCAAGATGGGAGAGATGGGCACCATGGAAGGTGGTGCGGAACTGGGTTTTAAGGGAGGGGGTCGCTAGGGGATCCAGAGAGAGGAGTTTGGACAAAAATAACTGATTTGACCCACCTAAGTATTTTTGGACTGCTGCTGTCCAGTTCCAACCCTGGGAACTGCTGATAGAATTTGCTTTGGGCCTTAGATTTGCCTGTGCTCTGCCTCTCTGCTGTTCACGCAGCTTTCACTCCGGCTTACTGAGAAAAGACGACCTAGTTCTTAACTTACCTGCTCTCTCTCCCCCTCTCCACCACCCCAGAGTAAGAATGAGATAATAAGGAACAGCACTCCAGAGCCGGAGAAGCACAGAACTTTTAACGTGCATTCTCTCGTTAGAGCCCCACATGCTCTTATGTTCTTATTTCATAGAAAGAAAAGTGAGGGTCGCAGACATAAGTGATTTGTCTAAAATCTAACAACTACTATGCAGTGGACTAGGGTTGAAACTGCCCCCTCCAGTCACCCTGCCCCCCTCTGCCGCCAGGTCAGCGCAGTCACTCTTGGGTTGGTGGCTGCACCCTGTCTTCCCTTCTGCACATTCCCTAAGGGGTGCCCCACCTCTAAGCCAGGAAAGGTAATCGAGGTAAGTAATAGCT